TCTCTGCTTGTTCATGTTGAAGATCTTTGATCTGTCTAGCTGAACTGGCCTAAAGGTTTTTGGCTTTACTTTCAAAGGAGAAATCTCATGGGCTGCCGAAGTGGGTACACTGATACTAATCTTCATCTTTCAAACTTACTATCAGTAGTTCTTTGTTCCAGTGGCCTCCCATCCATATATAATGAGTATATCAAAAGGTGTTCAGTGTATATCAGTGGACATACACCTTATGCCAAGGGATACCCTGCAGCTATGCATGAAACCCAGCATCATGGGACTGGGAGCATGCCAAGCACAATGTATTGAGATGCTTAAGTCCCCTGTCCATTCATGCACTGAGTAAAACCTCACCTGGATCTGTCACATCAACGTTGAAAAATCTATAGAAATGACTGAGTGAAAGTTTGCAAGGACAAAATGTAACTTTTTTAGCATGATGCAGCAGATTTGGGTCAATTGACTGATGCTGATGGCTTTAACAAGATACTGAAAAGGTATGGACATCTCAGTTCTCAAACATGTTATAATTGTTTTCTTCTCATGTGGGTGACTCCTTATCTATCCACAATACTGAAGCTATTTCATAGTTTCTTAATGCAGAGAGCTCAGCTAAAGGATTGCATTTTGAATTTGGCTAGAAGAATACAATCAACACAGAGTTCATTCCTTGCCATCCTCTTTCTTGCAGGCTGCTGAGATGGCAGCCAGACACACACTACAGGCTGGATAGACTGCTTGGGTGCCCTTCTCTGTTCCAGACACTTCATGAGGACCTTGTTTCCTCTACTGACATGCTATTAGCTGTCACAGGCTTACGGGAAGGGGGTATCTAGTCATGCCACAGAAGGACCAGGAAATAATGTCCAGCCATATAACTCTATTCACAGGATCCTCCTCCCAGGAAATTAAGTATGTGCATTCCCTGATGGTCTATGTTTGCATTTGGGGTCGTAGGATAAAGCAGTTACATGATGGAGCAGGTATCTAGGATATGGTCCTCCATAACGGACTGAGACCAGATCCTGTCATGATCTCCCAAGCCATTTCATAAGTCCTCTTTGCCAGTGGTTTCTCTGTATATCTTTGTGGAGTTGATATGGGAGCCAGTCACAGTGGGTACACGTGCTGAGGAGCCCAAGAAGGGCAGTTAGAATCCGCTGCACAACAGCCTTACCGCTGTTGTGCAACTCACAGCGTGGCTACCAGCCTCCCCTCGAGTCACCGCTCACTGGCTTACCTCAGCGTTCAAGTGTCTATGGAGGACCTACGCCTTAGCAGCAGCTGCAAGAAACTTGCCTCTCCGCCCTACAGCGACCCCTTTGCTTGCCCTTCCTCCCTTCCCACCGAGCAGAGGGCGCTCCGCTCTCACAAGTGGCTCCTCCCCACGTTCCTGGGATGGAGCTTCGCCAGTGGAAGGGAAAACTGCGCACACACACATACACACAGACAAGGAGACAAAAACCCCAAGCACAAAACTAAGAAGGGCCTGCGCGCTGGGAAGAGGCTAGTGGAGACCCCCGAGGACCCAGCCGGGCGCCGCACGGCTCCGGAGGGCACCGGCTCGCCCCGGGCCCGGTGCCACGGTATCGTGCGGCGCAGTGGAAAAGCCACAATGCGAGCTGCTCTCTAGGGGGGGTGGAGACAGACACAGGCGGAGCCAGGGCTCGAATTCTTGAACCTTTCACATCCTTTCTGTAATTTGAAACATACTTGTTCCCATTCCAGAACCCTTGTTGGTTTTGTTGGTTTTTTTTTAATTCCTTCCTTGAGGCTGTGGAAATACGCTCAGAAGAAAAGGGGGGGGGGGGGAGGGGAAGGAAAAAGCGAGCCCACTACTTTATCAGAGGCTCCAAAACAAAACAGAGAAATGTGAGAGCGCAGCCCTCCCCAGCACAACTGCTTGCGAACTCAGATTTCCCTTCAGAGGGGTCATGGCTGCTGCAGTCACGGGTTTGGAACGCAGCTGGTCCTGCCTGCAACAAGGCAAAAAAATCCTCCTCTTCTCCAAATGGCATTTACCTCCTTTCACTTCACAAGCTCTTGGTGTTCAGTGCAGAGGAAGCCATCTGCAGAAAGCTCAGGATGTTGGTTTGTGCCGTTACAGACCCTGGGCAGAGGCCAGTTCCCACTCCCCACTCCTAAACCCTTCCAGCCACCCTTCCAGCTGGCCTGGAGGGTGAATAGACACCTCTCCTGTACAGTCCCACACCTACAAGCACTCCCAATTTACCTCCTTCCACAAGGCTGTCAGGTAGACAGTTCCCATGTTTAGTGTGGGATGTACTCACATGGGAGAGGAAAACTGGCTGATGTTCACTCTGAAAGATTCTGAATGTCCCTGACCACCCCAAAAAGCACACAGCAGCATGGATCCTGCTTGCATCAGCTAGGCCATCGCTGCCAGCTCCTTTCCCCCTGAGTAAACCACAGCAGGTGACTGTGCTGGTGCAGCAGGAATTTTTGTTTGCTGTGTAAGGAAGTAACAATTACCAGTGACACTGAATGCCACCGCGGGTCAGGAGTGACATGAAGCTCTTGGGTTGCATACAAGCAGTTGCAGTGCAGCTGCCTTGCCAGTGCTGGAGCAGGGCTGCCAAGTTGTCAGGAGCAGCACCAATCCCTCTCCCATGCACTCAGGGACTCACACCCTGCTCTTTCAAACCAGAAAAACGAGGAGGAGGAGAGAAGCTTTTATATTTCATTGCCATTATCATAGGTCTCAACTGTGTTAATGTGGTATCATGCTGTTTACATCTGTATGTATACAGATGGGTGTGAGCAACCCTTAACGAAGGCGTGTGGTTTTCCAGGAGAGAGTCAAGTGGGCACATGTTTATCACCTGAAGCAGTTGGATGACTGCCCCATCAGAGTCACCTCTGTGCATGGGGAAGAAGTCATCTAGAGGGAAGGGCAGTCCATTGGCACAGGGTATATGCCTTACATGCTATACTCCTCCCATCACAGCCATTGCTCTGCACAGCTGGGTCAAGGTGTGGAGCTTGCAGAGATCTGTTTGCTCAGGTGTATAGCTAGAGGAGGAGCAGGAGCAGGACTCTCTGGAAGACAGAGATGGAGCGGATACACTTGGAAGAGACAGTGTGACATTTTGGGTTTCCCCATAGAGAGTCATGTGGTTCAGGCTCGTGCCCTGTGTAGGCCGGCAGCTAGATTAAGCCCACCAGGGAACTCCTCTCCTTAACCCAGCTCCTGGCACTACAAGTCACCATGCTGATACTTTTCAGATTGGCAGGAAACACCACAAAGCCCATGTGTGCTTAAATATTTCATATCACACAGCACATGTTATTCTGGCTGCCTGCAACACTGCAGCATTTGGGCTCCCTCCCTCCAAGGAGATAAAGCTTCCTGATAGCTTAGCTGTGCTTAGCCAGACACCCTCAAGACAGTCTTTGTCTCTGAAGCTGGACATGTGGAGCTTACAGCACCTGAATGTTACCCCCAGGTGGGAGCCATCCTGCCCAGGGTAACCCCAGCACCTCTCTGTGCCCAACCTTTGCCCTCAGCCCGAATCCATGCTTTTCAACCAATACAACTCTAGCATGCTTACCACATTTCTACTACTTTCTGCAAATAAGCCTTAGCTACAAAGAACAAATCATGCTCTGCTGATTTTTTCTTAGGCAACTTAGTTCCTAAAGGGTTATTAGTGCTCTATTCAGGCCCATATTGGCATTCCCCACCCTTCTCTAGATTGTCATGCAAGCCTGGTTGGAGTTGCTATTAAATATGAGACAAGACCTCAGTTAAACATGTATTAAGTTAGTGACTTCTGGGGTGTTACCAGCTTTCTAGAGATACTACATGTGACTCACTGAACTAGATGACAGACTGAGTAATAAGTTATTTCACCTGGTCCTATTTATCACAGCAGGTTTATCCTGCCTTTTTTACAGGGATCCCTGTCTCACAGGTACTGAGCAGGCCAAATGAAATCTATTCCTATGTGCATTGCTCTCTACACTTTTTGTTTTTACTCTATTCCAGTCCCACATACTTAATTTATGCCCTGGTTAACTGAAACAAAGCAGTAAGGAACCCTCTGATTCAAAGATTTCTGGAGGAAGACACCTAGACTTTTTGGGGTCATTGTTCAATGGATAAACTCTGCAGATGGGACTCCCATCAGAATCCAAATGGTGTGTTAAAAAGTGATGGAGAAAAATCAGCACTTGCCAGTTTTCCAGAAAACAAGATGCCCTGGAGTATGCTCTTCCTCCCTGGCTCCTTCCCTGTACCCATCACAGCTCCTAGGCACCATCTGTGGACTTCTACAGAGCTCATGATCTAAAGCAAGCAGCATGCCAAAGGTAAGTGGGCCATAGCTTTAGCCAGCGGCTTGTCACTGTTGTAATATTGGGCACCTCTAAAGGGATATTAAGTCCTTCAAAGGCAGCTGAAAATTCTTGCAGAGGGAAATCTCTGAGATACTAGCCAAGGGAGGCATCCTACTCATGTGGCCATACTGCAGAGACAGGTGGCATTTGGGCCACAAGCCAAGAGGTGCGTAGCTGTTCAAACTGGGGACCTTCCTATTTTCAAGACTGAAGGAAAGCAAGAGAAGCTCTTAGCTGTCTTTGCCCCTGTATCAGATTCTGGTCTTACGGGATGTGGTTGGGATAGATATGCCAATAGCTGCAGGCAGATAGAAACCTGTTTTATGAATTCCAGCTTGTAACCCATTGCTCTTTACATACTAAGCTGGTTATTCATTGCTAAAGTGAGTTTGAGGAAGGGACTAGGACAGCAAGAGGGAACTGCTGACGGAGAGAGGCAGCAAAGAAGAGAAGACTAACACAACTGGGAGAGAGCTGAGGCTCCCCCTGCTGACAGAACTTTGCAGGGGCTCAGAGCAGACACATTGTAACAGGCTGGCTGGAGTCACAGCCGTGCTGGGTGATGGAGGGGTGGAAACGTGCAAACGTGCTCTCCAATGACTTCACTCTGCAAAGGAGTATGTGCTGCTTCACAAGGGTGAGTGCATGGGACTGCTTCAGTAGACTCATCGTCTCTGCTAACTGCTAGAAATTAGTTCCTTTGGAAGAGATAAGAGCATATAGGCAGACTTGAAATGAGGGGAAGAATCCTGAACTCGGCATGATTTCTAACCACTTGTCCCATGCACAGGCTGGGACTGCTCTAGCCTCTGGGAAGACCAAAGGAAAGTTTAGCTACACAGAAGGGATCCTCCCGCATCTCTGCACAGAACAGAAGTAAGGTAGTCTCTGGGACAGCAGGATGTAGGGAGGAAGGGATTCCTGAACATCAGTCTCCCCTTTGACACTGATTTCCAATGAAGCATTTTGTCTCGTAAGTCTATTTCTCCCTCTAATTTTGTCTTCCCTTTTAGAAAGTGGTGCAAATAAAGCTGAGCTGCCTCAGAGCTGGTGGATGTCTGTACTACGCTAAACAGCTCTCCAAGGAGAGGAGTAAAAAAGGGTAAAGAACTAATGAGTCTCTGCAAGGAGCTGTTTCTGTGCCAGGAAAGAGTGTGATGCAGAGCCCTGCTCCAGTTCCATTCCTCAGCCTGTTCCAGTCGGCTCTGACTTTTGTTAATCCCTGTCCTGGGGCTAGAAGAAAGCAAGACCAACAGTTCAGTTTGCTCTGACAGGACTCAGCCCTGCTTGAAAATACTAGGAAACCTCCTGAGTCAGCAGCTCACTTGCTCCTACTCTTGGAATAGCTGAGATTCCCGGACACAGTAACTTGACTCTGCTCCTGGCTCAGAGCAGCCACTAGCTGAAAGGCAAAATAAAATCCCCTCCTGGCCCATTAACGAGGCCTGCTCTGGGTTCAGGAGAAACCAGTCTGACTGATGAACTCCCCTGGCTCAGGGGCTCTGGCTGGGGCTGAGAGAGTTATTCTTTCCTTATTCAGCAGACAGGAGGATGTTAATGGAGAGCATATGGGAGGGGAGGGAGTACTGTGGATATTGCTGGAGGACAGCCAGACTGAATCAAAGCCCCAAGAAGCCTATTCTCCATCCGGGTAATACTAAAACAGGCCGTGGAGAGACGAGAAGTCCAGCTGTGATATGGGGGAGTTGGGAAAAAAGCCCTCTGCCTTCTCCAGCGTTTTTACTCCCACTCCAGATGGGACAATGGGGCAGTATTGTCACATAGTCCTGTAGGCATGGTATTCACAGTGGAAGCCTTTCTGGGGAAGAGCGTGTCTCAGCCAGGCACCCCATCCTGAGAGTCCTGCTATAGACTTCAGGGAAGCAAGAACTGCCTCTGTGCCTGTGAAGTGCCATCTAATTTATGGTGCTATAGAAATGATGAATTGCAACAGGCCTACAGTCTAGAGATGGAAAAGCCCTGTTAAATCCTCCAGCCCATCTCCCAGAACTGATGCAGTACTGCTGCTTCTCACACATTTCCTGTTTCTGTTTCTGTCTGAACATGTTTTAAACAAGCAAGCAGCTGAGGTTCATGTATTTTTCACTTTTTAATTCTACTTTAAAAACAAATCCTGATGTGATTAGTGTAGTATGGATTATGCAGCCACTTGGATAAGTTAAGTAGGATGGAATAGGTGCATCAAAGACACCCCACATCTGCATCACCTTAAAGATAAAATGGAGGACTGGCTAGTAAAGACACGATCAGAGCTTGAACTAAGAAGCTTCCAATTAAGTAAGAGAGCAGTTAGAATGAGCTCCGGTAAAAATTAGGTGTGTCCTTTTTGGCTCCTGATAATCTGTTAATGTAGCCCTGACTGAGGCAGATTTTGGGCATCCATGATGCTTGGCCTTGCATCATTCACCAAAGTTTAATTACCTAAGGAGCCTGGCTTGTTTAGCCTAGCAAAGGAGAATATAATTGCAGTCTATAAATAAATACTTCAGGGGGTGAACACATGGGGAGGTGGAAAGAGCTATTTAAAGATAAAGGACAATACTGGCACTAGAACAGATAGGTATAAACTAGCCATACATACATTTAGGCCAGGGATTGTCAGGTTTCTAATGTTGAGAGCGTTGGCTGTCTGTGAAGGCCTACCAATGGGTTTAGTAGGGCCAGGAAGCAAGCTGGTTTCAAGAGGCAGATACATTTACTCAACTGATTGTATGAAACGGCTGTGCAAGCAAGGAGCTGGACTTGAGAAGCCCAGAAGGAATGTCCTGAGGTTCTCTTGGCTGCAGTAAAAAATACAAGATGAATTTTGGCTAAGGAGCTGCAGGGCCCTGTGAGAGCAAGGTGGGGGAAAACTGGAAGACTAATAAAACCTGAAAAATTTAAACTGCACCGTCACTGTACAGCAGGCAGATTATCAGTCCAGGTAAAACTGGAACCTGAAACTGACTGCTCCCCAGTGACAAGGCTGGCTGGCTTGGTTTAGAGAGGTTTGTGGGGGCAGGAGGAAATTACCAACAACAGTCAGTAGTAACAAGTGTCTGTGATTAGTTTCTGTGAAAGCATAGGCAAGAGAAAAGAAGAAATAAGGATCGGTTTTCCTATGAGCAGGTTAAATTGGGAAGCCCAAAGTTCTGTTTTGCCATCTTCAGAGGCAGAAAGATCTCATGAACCAGAAAACCTTCAGCTACAAGAACATCTTGTGTTCTCCAGTGGGGTAACAGCTCAGCCTGACCTCAGGCTGAGACCAATACGTCGTGCCCCTGCATGCAGTAATCATTCTTTATGAAGTCATATGCCAAACAGACAGTGGGTGTCTTTCCCTGTGGTGATCCTGCAAAACAGGAGACTGTGACCCTTGACTAAGGCATGCTGGAGAGGCAAATGTCCAAATCTTAGCTGCCTTGTCCAACTGGAAGCTGTAACAATAAATCACATACTCCAGTTTACACCACCAGCACAAACAAGATAATGGCCCTTATACCAGAGAGAGATCTGTTGTAATATAGTACTTTGTTTCATCCTGTTCCTGCTGAGAGTAGAGGGGCAGCCAGCCGAGAAGAGACTGCTCTACAACTGGCACAGACCTCACTTGCATTGAGGGAATTTTCCTGTGGGAATCTCCTGCCTGTTTGAGTTCTCTCTATGCTCCATAACCAGTTCTAAGCAAATATAGCGGAGACCAGAGAATCCATCTTAAAATGCCTTAGGGGAGATAGAGAATACGGTATAAACGGAACTGCAGCAATGTCTCTTCTAATTCTTGTAATCTGTCATGTAGCTGTGGTGGTGATAGGTGCTTTAGAAATCCACAGACTAAGCATGATTTGATCACATTAATGGTGCCCCCCTGCATCAAAAGATTCAGAGGTTTCAAAAATAAAGATGGTTGTGCTTCCAGATCTCTCTTGTCTGGGAAGAGGGTATCTCCTAAAGCCGGCTTTACTCCTGACATTTCTTATTCTTTGCTTTTTCTCACAGACTAGAAATGAAACATGAAATGCCTTGTCTCGCTATTTTCATCATTCTGCAGTCAGTCTCAGTGAGAATCTGAGGCAATGAAGGTGGGAGGTGATGAGCTGAGTCAAGTCTGAAATATGGTTCCTTGCACTAGAAGGATGTAGATGTGGCTTCTGTTTAAATCACCACTTCAGGTCTTGATGCTGAAAGGTGATGGCTCTTAACACGCTTTCTTGAAATGAGGTACACGGTTTCCATCCAATTACTAGCTAACTTTACTCAGTAGTCTAGGAAGTTGAGAACTGCATGAACGAAAGCACCAACACGTTGGCTAGGGAACAGCACACAGGGGAAGCTTGTCCTGTCACTACTTGTTATTTTCCTTGCTGTGTGAAGCTTAGACATTTTTCATCCTCCAGATCTAAAGTTCTTGGCCTGGTAACCTTCATCTAGTTGAATCAACTTTAAAAACAGGAGCGAAGATAAGAGAAGAAACTGATTTTCCTTTGAGGGGGGGTTTTATTTGAGATGCAACCCAACAGATTTTTTTCCTTTGACCTCACAAAACCAAAGAGAATTTATTGGTCATTTTCACATTTTTAGCTGACATTCTAATTTTCTTCACAAAAACACTTCAAACATCAAGAACCTCAATAAATCTCTAAAGCACACAGTTAAAAGTGTTCACACAGGCCATAAAGTTGTAAGTCTGGATTTGTACAATTTATGCTTATGGTCAGCCATGTCACGCTTTAAAGAATCTACCACTTCAGCCATCTTGAAATGGCAGTAAATCTAGATTACACATTGAAAGTGCTTAGGGAGTCCGGGTATTTATACCAATGAAATGCCAAAATATTTTACTGACATGCTCCATTTTTTACATTCTTTTACTACCAGTTAATTTTTTTATGTGTATATATATCTTTTAATGCTGACAGTTACATTTTGGCTATTCTTAGTTTTGCAACTGGCTAGGCATCCTCCAGTCAAAACAGGAGTCTGAACAATTTCACACACATGGCACCCTGGGCAGGAGGCAGTGGAAACCTCAGAGTTATGTGCACTGCCTGGGCTGAATATAGAGCTACATCTCTGGAAGCTCTGCAAATGTCACATGCAGAATTTCTGGCTGGTTTTGTAGGAGTGATTCATTGGGGTGCTGCTGCTCAAGAGTCTGTGTCAGTGTGTCTGTGTATATCCCCATAGGCATGGAACTGTGGCACTGTAGAAGTGAAATGGGTGACTCAGTAGGAAATATTTCTTCTGCATCAGAAGCATTTAAACTACCTGAGGGATGTACACAGCCAAAAGTGTAAAATGAAACCTCTAAGAGGTGTCCACCACAGAGTGCTGTTACAAGATGTCCTGGTCAACTCTAGTACCCAAAGCAGTGCAGGCATCACGTTAACATAGCTCTCTCACTGGGTTCCTGACCCTCTCTTTTAAATGTATACACCTAAGATGGCTAAATTTCTTTCCTAACCCAAATTAGCTCTCCTATCTAATTTTGAGCACCTCTGTATGATACTGCTTGGTGCTGCACAGACACTCCCTACTGGAAGGGTCCAGGGAGCACATTTTCTTTGCAGATGGAAATCACTTGTAAGCAGTCGAATTCCTTCTGGATTGACAATGAAGTCACACAAAACTGGTGCATAAAATATGTAAACATAGTTCCCCCACCCTGCCCATGGCCCAGCGCCCCATCCACAGGGAGCCACCATCCCTTGCTGTCCCTTGGTGCCATTTCCTCTACACTCAGTAGCTGCTGCCTGGCTCTTTCCTACAGGTCAGGATGTTAAGAAGGAAGGACAAACTCCAAATATGACCAGCTAATGCCACTCCTACTACACTGTGAAGCAAAACCAATCTTAGGGTGATAACCATGGTTTCCTGCTCATACCCAGAGTCCAGAGTATGTACTCAAAGCCATAACTGAATATAAGATATATACCTAATTCCTGGCAGAAACAGCTGGACTTGAAAGTCCACTTACCCGCTCACCCTATGAGAAAGGTTTGGGTTTATTGTACTGTCCATTCACTCCTCTGAACATCTTTCACTTCCTGCTTTGTGTCCTTCTAGCAAGTATCAATATGCTGCTTTCTTGCTATGATGAGAACACTGTGAACCTGTCTTCCTTGAAACTGTTTCTTAGCTCACCTTTTGCTGTGATGACCCTGTGAATTAGGTGCCAACTCTAATGATTTAAAGATAGTGAACCCAGTATGTGTTGTTTTCCTTCCTATGTATTTACAAATAACTTGGCACAGTGAGACAAACAAATGACATTCCTAGATTTGTCTCTCTCCAGGTGTGATATGGTAGTTATGAATGACTTTATAGGTATCAGGCAGTTTTGGAAAACAAAAGAAAGAAAGAGAGAAAGAGAAAAATAGAGAAAAGAAAGGAAGGGAGGGAGGGAGGGAGGGAGGAAAGAAAGGAAAGGGAAAGGGAAGGAAAAAGGAAAGGAAAGGAAAGGAAAGGAAAGGAAAGGAAAGGAAAGGAAAGGAAAGGAAAGGAAAGGAAAGGAAAGGAAAGGAAAGGAAAGGAAAGGAGAAAGATGAAAGGAAGGGAAAGGAAAGGAAAGGAAAGGAAAGGAAAGGAAAGGAAAGGAAAGGAAAGGAAAGGAAAAAGGAAAGGAGAAATATGAAAGGAAAGGAAGGGAAAGGAAGAGAAAGGAGAAAGGAAAGGAAAGGAAAGGAAAGGAAAGGAAAGGAAAGGAAAGGAAAGGAAAGGAAAGGAAAGGAGAAAGATGAAAGGAAGGGAAAGGAAAGGAAAGGAAAGGAAGGGAAAGGAAAGGAAAGGAAAGGAAAGGAAAGGAAAGGAAAGGAAAGGAAAGGAAAGGAAAAAGGAAAGGAGAAATATGAAAGGAAAGGAAGGGAAAGGAAGAGAAAGGAGAAAGGAAAGGAAAGGAAAGGAAAGGAAAGGAAAGGAAAGGAAAGGAAAGGAAAGGAAAGGAGAAAGATGAAAGGAAGGGAAAGGAAAGGAAAGGAAAGGAAGGGAAAGGAAAGGAAAGGAAAGGAAAGGAAAGGAAAGGAAAGGAAAGGAAAGGAAAAAGGAAAGGAGAAATATGAAAGGAAAGGAAGGGAAAGGAAGAGAAAGGAGAAAGGAAAGGAAAGGAAAGGAAAGGAAAGGAAAGGAAAGGAAAGGAGAAAGATGAAAGGAAGGGAAAGGAAAGGAAAGGAAAGGAAAGGAAAGGAAAGGAAAGGAAAGGAAAGGAAAAAGGAAAGGAGAAATATGAAAGGAAAGGAAGGGAAAGGAAGAGAAAGGAGAAAGGAAAGGAAAGGAAAGGAAAGGAAAGGAAAGGAAAGGAAAGGAAAGGAGAAAGATGAAAGGAAGGGAAAGGAAAGGAAAGGAAAGGAAAAAGGAAAGGAGAAATATGAAAGGAAAGGAAGAGAAAGGGAGAAAGGGAGAAAGGAGAAAGGAAAGGAAAGGAAAGGAAAGGAAAGGAAAGGAAAGGAAAGGAAAGGAAAGGAAAGGAAAGGAAAGGAAAGGAGAAAAAGGAAAGGAAAGGAGAAAAAGGAAAGGAAAGGAGAAAAAGGAAAGGAAAGGGAAAGGAAAGGAAAGGAAAGGAAAGGAAAGGAAAGGGGAAAGGAAAAGGGAAGGGAAAAAGGAAAGGAAAAAGGAAAGGGGAAAGGGGAAAGGAAAAGGGAAAGGAAAAGGGAAAGGAAAAAGGAAAGGAAAGGAAAGGAAAGGAAAGGAAAGGAAAGGGGAAAGGAAAGGAAAGAGGAAAGGAAAGAGGAAAGGAAAAAGGAAAGGAAAAAGGAAAGGAGAGGAGAGGAAAGGAGAGGAGAGGAAAGGAAAGGAAAGGGGAAAGGAAAAGGGAAAGGAAAAAGGAAAGGAAAAAGGAAAGGAAAGGAAGGGTTCAGAGGTTAGAAACCATTAGAAAAGCCCACTTCTGCCAGGTTATTACACTAGCGGTTATCATGCAGTCAACCATTCCCTGCTCTTCCTACCTACCTGCTCACATAAATCCAAGAAGCTGAAATGAATCAGCAGACAAAATGACAGATCATGACTGAGGTGCTTTCTCCAGGCAAAGGAGACCCAGGCCAAGGCAGAAGCTGTACTGGTAAGGTTTAAGGGGAGGCTTCAGATTTGCCCTGAAGATCTTTCCATGCTGAGCTGTAAAAGATTATTTTATTTTCTCTTTGCCAGTCAAAAGATAGAGGGACATTATGCTCACCTAATGTTACATATCAAAACAGTGACACAGATGGGAGACAACCAACCTACAGTATTACAGAAATACACAGAAATGTTCAGTTAATGGAATCATGTGCTACTGACCCTGAGAAGAAGAAGGCTATTCTGGCAGCAGGAGAGCTACCAGCTCTCGGGTGCTGCAGTAACATCAACAGCAGCAGGCTCGCCCTGTATGGAGGCAGCCTTGTGTGCTTTCTCATGGCACTGCTGGGTGGTATTATAAATAAATCCATATTGTAGCAATGGTATGGAATACAAAGGTGCTTGTAAGGGATCTGGCTTTATATTTGGGCAATACCCGTACAATCTGGGCAAATATGGATAGCACATATAGCCATGTAGAAGATTTCATTCTTTCCAGCTGCTCCTCATTACCATTTGCTTTCAGTAATTTCAAGGACTACTCTAGCTGCCTTTTCCGAGTCTCTGCCAGACTTTCTTCCAGACAGAGGGATTCAGGTGGCTTTAGTTGTTCCATTTTTTTCTCAAAGAAATCTGACTTCTTCTAATACAGTGTAATAAGGGCACTGTGTCCTCACGAGGGACTAACTCTCATTTCCTGGCCCTAAAGCTGGAGATAGGTAAGTTACAGAAATACTTCTGCAATCTGTGGCTACTGTTGCGCACTGGAGCTGGCACACTTAGGAGAAGGTTTAGAAATGAATTGCCTATTTACAAAGGAAACCCAGCGCAGTCAGGGCTGGCTTGTTCCATAAGGAGTACAGCGGGACTCCCACAGCACTACTAAAATAACAGGAAGAGTAACAGGGGCTGCTACAGGAATGAGTCGTAGGCATCCAGAAAACTCAAAGGAGGCACCAATTCTGCCGGCTGCAGGAAGGCAGCAGTCACCTCCTCCCGTCAGCCATTCGGGAGCGGGCGGCAGCGATGCATAGCCAGCCATCTTGCTTCCAGTCAGACACAAACCCCCATGTTTGCCAAGTAAGCAGGAACAAAAATGTGTTGAGCAAAAGATTTCATTTCCCAGCATCTACAGGGAAATCAACAGACAATGGGAAGCAACATAAAAAACATATACATGAAAGACTGTTATTTAAAACCAGTTGACATAGTCATTTTCAGTGGAATCTGGCTGGCTGTAGCCGGTATTTAATTCAAAAATTCCTCAGGAATGAAGGTCTTTTGCAGGCCAGCTTTATTTGGCTGGGGTTGGGCTTCGCTTTTTCCCACATCCCGCCTGCTGAAGTTAGAGGTTGATGGCAGGGAGCCTGATTCCTCTGCCTCTTCCTGTGCCAGACACAGGCAGCCAGCATCACCTCTTTTTTACATTGTTTGCTAAAACTGCTGCATGCAACAGAAGCTGGAGTGGGGCAGGGAAGGAGTAGGATCATCTGCTCTCCCTTCTGAGAACATAGTAAAAGATTACCTGAAGAATGATCCATAAGGAATCAGAGAAGTCAAAGAAACTACATACAGTCCAGAACGGGCCATGTATAATCCTATGGTAGTAACAGTTTTCCTGCCTCATACCCCATAAACTGTTACATGCTGCAAAAAAAAAAAAGGCTTTCTCACACAGCAGACAACAGCAGCAACGTATTTGCTGTGAGCACTAGACATAGAAAATTAAAATAATGACATATCTAAATAACATTTCTAAAGCACTTACCAAAAAAAATGTCACGATTATTTTCTACCCCGAGACATGTGCAGTTGAACCAGGGGCACTTAGAAACTCTTGCATAGAAATGAGAGATACAAAAATTAGTCCTACTCAAATGTCCAGCAACACTTGTAGCAAGTAGACAATACACAGCAGGCTGGTGTGTTTGAGCTGCTCCCACATAAAGCCCCTCATACGACAGTAATAAGGTAACCAACCCAGACCCACCCTTAAATCAAGCATACACTGTACTACACCTCTCTGTCTTGCACACCTCACTCACTCTCATTCTGCCTCCTGGGATATTCAGCCCTAACCCTGCTAAACCCAAGGTATTGTCTCTTGTTGACTCTGGCAGGCCGGGGGTGGGGGGGCAGCCGGTACTGCAACTCCAGATGTGCTTTTCCTATTCTTTGAAACTGTTCATCAGAAAAACAAAAAGCCCTGCGTTGCTATGGAGACAGTATCTCTGGCACTGATGGACCCAGTGGGCGGCAGCAGCTTCCTGGCTGCAGAGACACCCAAGGCCTGGTACTTGTGCAAGCTACTTGCTGCTGGGCGTGCTCTGAAGCAGGGGGTTCAGATGGCAGGAGGCAGGGCTTTCTCCAGGTGGCCAAGAAAATCATAAAGTGGATCTGGGGATTTTACACTTGAAAAAAATATCAAAGTGAGACTGAGCTGAATCTGGAGGCAGGCAGAAGCTGTGCAAACCACTGAGGCAGTGCACAAAGAAAGCTGGTAGACTCTTTTGAGATGAAAACATTTTCAGCAGTTTGAATTATTGTATTTATAGAGACAATACTAGGAACAGTGGAGAAACTAAGCAAGATCTTTTTGTAGAAGGAGGGTTGGTTTTTTTTTCCAGGAAAGCAGTGGAAAGTCCATCTTTTGAATCATTTAGAATTTCTATCGGCACTTGCTAAAGGAAAAGATCCTGTTGATCCCCCAGAGACATGGGAAATGAGACCAATTAGGGCTTCTCCAGCTCTAAATATGGAGACTGTGCAAAGACATACTTTACCCTTATTATCTTTGAAAGTTAAAATGAATAGGGTGTGACCCAGCTGAATTAAAATCAGGGCTTGCATT